ACTCAATATCACTCACGTCGAGAGGCGCCTCGCCCAGCCCCTCCCCTCCCAGCCACTCCTTGTCACGCCTGGCCTCTCTGTGTGTGTGCCTTTTGCAGCCCGGCACTGTGAAAGAGGAAAAGATTGGGAGAGGCTGGGCTGAGTAAAACAAGCATTTCAAAAAAATATCTTTCGTTAGCTTGCAGGCTGCAATAGTGAGACACCTCCCACACACATATTTCTTAGGCTGAAAAGTGCAAACTAATGAAAGCTCTTTTTTTTCAAAGCTTGTTTTTCACAGCCCCCCCCCCCGCCTCTCCCAATGTTTTCCTCTCCATTGTCACAGCACCGGGCTGCAAGGCGCACACGCACATGCCACATACACGCACACACGGCATAGAGGCAATGACAGGGGAAGGGGATCAAAATGGGAAGCCTCTGCTCATTTTTTTTTTAAAAAAACCCTACAGAACTTCCCTTTTTGTCCATCCTTCCCTCTGTTGCCTCCGTGCCTGATGCCAAAAGGGCATCTCTGCTTCCTCCCCCCTATGCCAGAAATCGCACGCCAACTCCATTCATCTCCACGTGCCCCCAGAGCCCGTGCGATCTCCTACTACCCATGGTGGCTGGCAGGCAAAAGCCTCTGCCCCAGGTCCCATGCCCTCTCCTTCCCACCTCTTCCTTCCTGCATGCAGCGGTGGGCCAGTCCCAGGGAAAGGCCAGCAAGCAAGGACAGGAGGCACTAGTGTCCCCACAGCCATTCTTAGATCCGTGCTGCCACTTCGGCCTGCCCCCTGGGCGTGTACACAGCAGGCTCCAAGTGTACAAAGGCTGGCATCCTGACTGAAGGGCAGCACTCAGCAAGCAATCCTCAGGGATGAAGTCGCCAGGCCCTGCACACTCTCCACCACTTGTGTGCACGCCCAAGGGGCGGGGCCAAGGTGGCGCTGCAGATCTAAGGCTGGGCCTGGGTGAGGAACCAGAGAGCAGTGGGCCATGGGCCTCACTCTAGGTGAGCGGCCAAGGCAAGATAAGGAGTGGCTGGGAGGGGCCAGGTGGGGTGGGGGCAGGGCCGGCCAGGTGGGAGTAGGGCCAGTGGTGCTATCAACCAGTTTGCCGAACTAGGCAAAAAGTTAACAAGGTCTGAACTAGCTGGAGCCCACCTCTGTGTGGGAGGCAGCTAAGGAGGAAGACTCACTAGACAGAGATCAGCTGGGCTGCGGGGGCTGGGTCGAGGCAAGTGAGGGAACCTGAGAGCAGATATGCCACAGGCATGATTGTAGGCATTGGTCAAGGTGGGCAGGGCGAGATAAGGAGTGAGGGGTGGGGCAGGGCACGGTGGGGCCAGCCAGCAATTTAACAAACAGTTCAGCTGAAGTGGTGCAAACCGGTTGAATCCCACCACTGAACAGTAGCCTTGATGACTTGCTTACAAGATGTTCCTAGGATGATCTGAACAATAGCACTATTCATGCTTTTCTACCTGCATTTTTCCTTCTAATCTACATACTTCCAACAGATCCTATTTAGAGCATACAGCTTTCCCTCAAAGAAATGAATTATGAATGCAAAACTATCAAGGATATGAATGAGCTATTAATGCTTTCAGTGCCTGTGACCCTCAAACCACAACCACATTCATTCATTCAATCTTTACAGTGGTTAAAATCACTCATTCAACACTTTACTGATAGATAATGGTGGAAGGGGGGGAAATGAAATGACCTCAGACTAACTTGAGCATTTTATGAACAAATAAAATAGCAGTAGCACTTAGTCTTATATACTGCTTCACACTGCTTTACAGCCCTCTCTGTAGGTGTCAGCATATTGCCTCCAACAATCTGGGTCCTCATTTTACCGACCTCGGAAGGATGGAAGGCTGAGTCAACCTTGAGCCTGGTGAGATTCGAACTGCCAAATTGCAGGCAGCTGGCAGGCAGCAGAAGTAGCCTGCAGTACTGCATTCTAACTACTGCACCACTTCAGCTCAGAAAGAAAGAAATCAAACAAACAAACTGATTAATAAAACAATGCCAGATTGTAAAATGTAGAAGACATACCAAAACCTTTTGGGTTATTTTCCCCCAGAAGAGGGAAATTATTCCATAAATAATAACTTGGAGAAAAAACAATGGTTACTTTTCCCAAAACAGCATGCACATACACATTGATTTAGCTAGGTTTCCTATAAAAGAAGTTGCAATATACTTACACCCACTCAACTCTTTGAAAAGGGAAAAATGTGCATCATTTTAATTAAAGTTTGCTTTAATTTGATATTTCCCCCCAAGCATTTCAGCAAACAAAGCTTCCTAAGTTCATTTGGTCTAGCTTGTTCTCCTCACTTTTAGCCTACAGAAGTAAAACAGCAGGGAGAGATTTGTGTGCCTTCTATTTAATTAACCCATTTTAATTCATTTCTACCATGACTTTGCAATAAAACATCTGGGTTCAAACTTGAACATTTTTCTTTTTAATATTTTATTCCATTCTTTCTGTCCCTTCTCATACTTAATCCTTCACTAAAGATTATCAAAAAGCACTGAGAACAGATGGACATATAGTATACAAGGTCTCACAAGGGAGCTAAGCTATCAAAGGGAAAAGAGAATCTAAAGGATTTCAGATTAATTTCAAAACAGAAATTTCCAGGCATCAAAATCCTCTGTCTTCTTTCTCTCCTCCACACTCCACACTCATACACTTTTATTCAATCAAATCAAGTGCAAAGAGCCATAGAAAGATACATGCTTGGCATCACAAGACAAGATAGAAAGACCTGCACATAAATTAGAGAACAAACAAAAATATATGATGCCATCAAAAGAGTAAAAGAGTTGAAATGGAAATGGGCTGGTCACATAGCAAAAACAACTGATGGCAGGTGGACTAAGGAAGTCATAGAATGGATTCCACTTGATAAAAAGCATCCACAAAAGAGATCTAAAATTAGATGGAGCAAATATTGCGGGCCCAACTGGCAATCGAAAGTATCAAGTCCATATATGATATGCCATATGCTAAACAAATAAATAAATAAATGTGAGATTGAATTTGGGTTGGTTGTGGTGACTGACCTAAATTTGATCTTGCATCATTACCTGGGACATATATATGCATATCTGCACCTCTATAACTGTCTGGTTTGGTTCTGCAACCCAAGACATACACAGACTTCAGAAAAAACAATTACTGCCAACATGCCTTCCATTGAGAACCTGTATACTGCACGAGTCAAAAAGAGGGCTGTGAAAATATTTACAGACCCCTCACATCCTGGACATAAATTGTTTCAACTCCTACCCTCAAAACGACACTATAGAGCATTGCACATAAGAACAACTAGACACAAGAACAGTTTTTTCTCAAATGCCATCACTCTGCTAAACAAATAATTCCCTCTACACTGTCAAACTATTTACTAAATATGCACTACTATTAATCTTCTCATTGTTCCTATTACCCATCTCCTCCCACTTATGACTGTAGGACTGTAACATTGTTGCTGGTAGCCTTACAATTTATATTGACTGTTTCCTAATATGGTTCGATTGCTTATTTGTACCCAATGACTATCAGTAAGTGTTGAACTTATGATTCTTGATGAATGTATCTTTTCTTTTATGTACACTGAGAACATATGTACCAAGACAAATTCCTTGTGTGTCCAATCACACTTGGCCAATAAAAAATATTCTATTCTATTCTATTCTATTCTATTCTATTCTATTCTATTCTACTCTACTCTACTCTACTCTACTCTACTCTACTCTACTCTACTCTACTCTACTCTACTCCACTCTACTCTATTCTATTCTATATTTGCCTTCATTCGTGAAATAAATAAATCCTCAAAGTATCTCAGATTTCCTGAAAATATATCATTCTCCAATTCTAGAAATAGAATTCTCCAATTCTATTTCACTTTTCAAACCATCAGGAGAAAACTGAATTTCAGCTGCATATGATGAATGAATGCTGCTCATTTAAACCAACATCTGTCCTTAAATGCACACAAAGTTAGAAATGAGAAAAACATTTTTAGCTTAAAAAGGAAAGAAATACTCAAATGTTCTTGAATCTGCTATTTATCTTCCCATCCTTAATTCCAGCAGGACTCATTTCCTGTATCAGTGCCTGGCTGACATGGACTTAGCCAAGATATTACCTAGAAGTAGACTTTGCTTTAAAAGACCTACATTTTGCCTGACTAATTTTGTCAAGCTGGAATGTGAACTTTGCCTTGCTCAATTATGTCTTCCACAATTGGTTTACAATACCATTTAGTTGCCACTAACATTTGTAAAATTATCTAAGAAAAGGAATAAGAATAATCATTTTATACACCAATTTTCTGTTATGTAAAAATTGACAAGTAACGGAAATCACCGATTTATGTATTTATGTAGCCATCCATCCCCCCAAAAGAGCAATAATAGAACAGTGGAACTTGCAGAACAGTGGTGTAATACAGAGTAATGAGAAAATCAGTAACTATAAAAATCAATAAAGAGCCATGGTGGTTTAGGGGTTAGAATGCAGCACTGCAGGCTACTTCTGCTGACTGCTAACTGCCAACAGTTTGGCAGTTCAGGTCTCACCAGCTCAGGGTTTACTCAGCTTTCCATCCTTCTGAGGTCGGTAAAATGAGGACCCAGATTGCTGGGGGCAATAAACCACTTAGAGAGGGCGGTAAAGGTCTGTGAAGTGGTATATAAGTCTAAGTGCTATTGCTAAGTGCATCTTTCCTTTCCTTTCCTTTCCTTTCCTTTCCTTTCCTTTCCTTTCCTTCCTTTCCTTTCCTTTCCTTTCCTTTCCTTTCCTTTCCTTTCCCTTCCCTTCCCTTCCCTTCCCTTCCCTTCCCTTTCCTTTCCCTTCCCTTCCCTTCCCTTCCTTCCCTTCCCTTCCCTTCCCTTCCCTTCCTTTCCCTTTCCTTTCCTTTCCTTTCCTTTCCTTTCCTTTCCTTTCCTTTCCTGTTAAATAGATAATATATGCTTAAGAATTTGTTCATGTCTTACCTGGATTCATCATGGTTGATTGCAAGGTAGATATCCCAAGATGTTTCTTCAGGGATAGCGCCTTGGGGAATTAGTAGGCTAACTCCTGGAACAGCAAAGACAAAAATTACTTGGAAACATTCCAAGTACTTGCTAGAATTAAAGTGAACTGAAGTTGTAACACACAAAAAGAGCACATTACTTTTATTGCGGCTTTGTAGTAGATAAATCATTGTTGCCATCATCTGAATAGTACAACAAGCATCGTATTTCAACTGATAAGCATTTATTACACTGGAATATTTGCAGAGCAATCTTTTTCCATGGTTTCAGGTAAAATTATGTTTTGTTTGCATGAAGCACTTGAAAACAGTATAGATGCTTTTTAAAGTAATACTTTATAAGTATACTGCTTTATAATAGCAGTAATACTTATATTAATATGGCAAACAGAAAAAAGTTGTTTTCAGTATTAAATTGTGTAGGTGTGGGATAAAAATAATTCTTCAGAGAATCAGGGAAGCTCATATTTATCATGGATTTTGGTGCAAAATCCTTATCCTGCTGATTCCGGATGAATTTCTTCTCTGAAAATATAGCCTAAAAATTAGGTATTAAATAATATGAAATGATGAAGTTAGATTCTAACCAGAGATACTTCAGATGGGCCTGCTGTGGCCTTCTGTTCTGTGCACTGCTCTACCTTAAGCATCCTTTCCTTATATCACCATGCACAGCAGGCATAAACAGCCTTTCAAAATTCTCTGCCCAGTTCTCAAATTGTGTGGGCGATTTATTTGAAATTCTTCAACAATCTCTCAAGGGCAGGATTCCCCCTTAGTGCTGACAGAATCTGGAGAAATTCCCTTGTAGTGTCTTCCCTTTGAATTTAAATGAAGTTGGGAAGCTAAGAAAACTACAGACTACTAAGAGAGTGAAAGACAGGACATTCATACATGCCTTTGGTTGCCTGGAAATTAAATGAGTGAGTGTTATGAGAATTTATCTGCAATTCTCTTATACTTTGGAAGAATTTCTGAAGAAATTTATCTCCCATCAAACTGAATGACAAACACTTTCACCTGTACACTGCTTCCTCTAACAAGGGAAACAGTTGCTGTATAAGTATCACTCTGAAGATCAGATTCATTCATTGTAAATTGGTCATTGAAGATGCCCATCACAACCACTTCCCCATATGTCACTTGGAGAACCCTTTCAGATTGTATATAGAACTGTCAATTAACTGCATCAGAAAGTCACAATCCTGCTTCTGGGGGAAGATTGCAAAGATAACAGAGGAGCTTCACACAATTTCCTTGCTTTAGATTTCCCATTATAGGATATCAAACAATTGGTTTGGGAAACCTTTCTCCTGAGAACGGCTATAAATGAGGGTAACTTCCACTAGTATGGATACATTTAATAGAGAAAATTGAAATTTTTCCTATAGGACAAAATTTACAGGGCCAGTTCCATGAGAAAATAGCCTGGAATTTTTGGAATCATTGGCATGAAAAACAATCAAACTGAACACACAGAGACACTCAATCTCAGGGTATATTGAAAGTGAGGCATCATAGATGATTTTTTTTTAGAAAATGTTGCTATATGTATTGATCACACACAAACATACACACCAATACACATGTATGCAAACATACACATACACACACAAACTCACTACTATTGGATAAATATTTTCTGATGCTTGTTTACAGCCACAATAAATTTTAGTTGGATAATGAGGACAGTATTAATATATATATATATATATATATATATATATATATATATATATATATATACATACATACATACATACATACATACATACATACATACATACATACATACATAAAATATATTGGAAAAGATCATTATTAGCAGATTTCATGGGTGCATATAAAAACAATCCCAGCTGTCTCTAAGGAAAAAGTTTTTCCTATTCCTTTTGCATTTTAAGCTGCCCTGAGCCTTTTTCACAATGTACACAAGAGTTTTCACATATTTCTTCCCTTAAAGAAACTATCTCAGCAGTATTCTGCAACAATAGCAAATGAAATTAAGCAGTAGGTTTAGAGGGGGCACGAAAGTTGCTAAAAAAGGGTTCAGAGCCATAGGACACAGATAAAAGATATAAAAAGATATAAAAGTTATAAAAGAAGGCAAATGACTTGGATTCAACCTGTTTGGGAGGGTTATGGCCACCAACAACCCTATACAATACTAGAGAGAAGGAGGGGGGAAAGAATGGAATTCTCTCTTACCCATATCATTTGAGATTTCCAAGCATCATAGATAATTCAGTGAACTCAACAGCTTTTTACCATGCAGCAGTTCTTACTAGCAATTTAATGAATTTTGGTACCAAGTCTACTAATTTATTCACTTAAACAGGAATGACATGTTGGCCCGTGTTGATAATGTGGCTATGCTTATTAGGATGTACAAAGCAACAAATGTGCATCAGCAATTAGACCCTGCTCAGTGTGTTGCCTTCTCTTCACATCTTTTATCCTCCTCTTCTGGGGTGATTCTCCTGGGGAATAAACAATTTTGTCCCCTGGATGAGTTGAATAGCATCACTCATAAAAGAGGAGCTCCTTTTACAGGATGCTCTGTCCAGCAGCAAAACATTACAGCACAGCACAGAAGTCCAAGTCCTTGTACAGTGCTGAAATCCAATTTGATAATGCCAACAAACATTGGCTTGCCTGTGCATGAATACATCCTGGAGTTTAGCCCTCTTATGATCACTGATCCTGCATAAGATAGCTCTTCCTATTCAGAAACGTCTCCAAACATTCAACTGGAATCTGCTTTTCTGCAACTTAAACCCATGTCCATGTTGTTCCTTCTAAAACAACAGAGTTCATTTTCTTCTTTGGGACAGCTTTTCAGATACTGTCATGTCCAGTTGTCCAGGGATGCACCATGTCCAGTTGCTAATGCATTCATATTAATGTTATCAAATATGCACCACCTTTCAAAACACATTTTGGCAGAACTGAGTATGCTATTTTGATACTTGATATAAATCACCCTATATCACATTTAAGCTACTGCTCATAACTAGGAAGATCTGTTATTTATTTTCCTTACAAGGCAATAGCTTGGAACTGTACTTTTAAATTCATTCAAAAGTTTCAACATATAGTGACCAGAACATATAGTCAGGACAGAATTTTGAACCATTTCTTCAGGAGTAGTGGAACAGTGTCTGGTGGATATGATTTTAAAAAGTCAAAGTGAAACTAATTTTATTGTAAAAGTGAAGTTAAAGCTCAGTCTGGCTTTTAAGAGCATCATACTATCACAGCTACCACCTTGACTTTATGATCAACCTTCAGGATTTCCCTAGAGGCAGGGATAATAAATTGAGATGTGTGAGCTTTCTGTTTGAATGCTTGACTCTTCCACTGAAAGTCCATTTGTTGAATCAAATTAGGTGCTTTTGCGTTGATGTGAACATTCAGTGGACTTTTTGCATGAATCTTTTGATACACAGAATACACAGATAAACAGAAAGAGAGACACACAAACTCATACACTTTTATTCAATCAAATCTTGCCATTTGGAATCTAAAAGTGAATCTTGGTTGGTCTTCATTCCTTTAAAGCTATATGCATAGCCTTCAAGAACCTGGATCAATGTATAAGCCACAGAATCTGTAAAGGTCCACCTCTCTTTTAGAAGGAAATCAGGAAGTTCTCCAAGCTATAATTTTTGTAGCTAGAATAAATTCCAGAGTAAAACATTGCATTACAGTTCACGCGTGACAGTTTCCACAATTCCTGGAGGAAACGTCTTATCTAGATCTGTTCCAGTCAGGTTTCAGGCCTGGGCACAGCACAGAAATGGCATTGGTCGCATTGGTAGATGATCTCTGGAGGGCGCGGGACAAGGACTGCTCCTCTGTCCTAGCCCTGTTAGATCTCTCAGCGGCTTTTGATACCATCGACCATGGTATCATGCTGCACCGGTTGGAGGAGTTGGGGATGGGGGGCACCGTATTACGGTGGTTCTCCTCCTTTCTCTCAGACCAGTCTCAGTTCATGTTGGCAGGGGGGCAGAGGCCGACCTCGAGGCCTCTCATTTGTGGAGTGCCTAGGGGTCGGTCCTCTCGCCCCTTCTGTTCAACATTTATGTGAAGCCGCTGGGTGAGAATCATCTGTGGCTTTAGGGTGAAGTACCATCAGTACGCTGATGACACCCAGCTGTACATCTCCACCCCAGGCCACCCCAACGATGCCCTTGAAGTAATGTCCTAGTGCCTGGAGGCTGTGAGGATCTGGATGGGGAGGAACAGACTCAAGCTCAACCCTTCCAAGACTGAGTGGCTGTGGTTGCCAGCATCCTGATATAGTCAGTTGACTCCATCACTGACTATCGGGGGCGAGTCTTTGGCCCCCGCGGAGAGGGCGCACAATCTGGGAGTCCTCCTGGATATGCAGCTGTCCTTGGAGGAACATCTGACGGCTGTAGCCAGGGGGACCTTCTATCAGGTTCACCTGATCTGCCATTGCAGCCCTTTCTTGATCGAGATTCCCTGTGCACAGTCACCCACGCCCTCATCACCTCGCGCCTGGACTACTGCAATGCTCTCTACATGGGGCTCCCCTTGAGGAGCACTCAGAGGCTCCAACTGGTCCAGAATGCGGCCGCGCGGGTAATCACGGGAGCCGCTTGGCGCTCCCACATAATACCACTCCTGCGTGAGCTGCACTGGCTCCCAGTGGTCTTCCGGGTGCGCTTCAAGGGGTTGGTTACCACCTTTAAAGCACTCCATGGCATAGGACCTAATTATCTTCGAGATCGCCTGCTGCTACCAATGACCTCCCACCGATCTGTGCACTCCCTCAGAGAGGGCCTCCTCGGGGTGCCATCAGCCAAACAATGTAGGCTGATGACCCCCAGGGGGAGAGCCTTCTCTGTGGGGGCACCTACCCTCTGGAATCAGCTGCCCCCAGAGATAAGGAGAATCCAAGACCTCGGTGCCTTCCGCCGTGCCCTTAAAACTTTCTTTTTTCAGCAAGCCGGGCTGGCTTAACATATTTTTTAACATATTTTAAAAATATTTTTAATTGGTTTGTTATTTTAAATTGGGGCCAAATTAACATATATCCTTTTAATTGTTTTTAATGTTTGTATTGTATGTTTTTATCTGGCTGTACACTGCCCTGAGTCCCTCAGGAGAAGGTGCGGTATATAAATTCGAAATAAAATAAAAAAAATAAATTACAGGACAAGGGATCCTTGTCAGTAATTTACAGGCATAAATGACTACAGAATAATTGCCAGCAGCACAATTATGCAGCAATTTTGAATGGCCTGTTTCACTCATAGGGATACACCCAAGCAAAACAAAAAAATAATAGTGAAAATGTGATCAAAAGCCTGTGCTGCCAACACGGGGGGTGGGGGGGGAGTGTTTCATTTCAGAGAACATGGCAAGTATCTCATATAATTGCTGGATACTCTAGGACAGATTTCCTATTTTTGACATGTTATTCCAATAGTTAGCTTTGATGAGGAAAGAAAGAGAAACATCAGCTACCCCGATGGCTTAAAAAAAGAAAGAAAGAAACTTCATATGACAAAAGAACAGTCTATTTTAAAATTAATATTATTTCACAATATAAAATGGCAGTCAGAAATCTTCACAAGCTGTACCTATTTGGGCATTTGCCTCCCATCGATAGACAACAGGAGGGCCTAGCTATATGCTCAGTACAAGCTCCCTATGTGATCCAGAAACTTTACGACACAGAATTTGAAATCACATGGGTCCTGATCCCTGCTACTGCCTTTGTAATACTTGAAAAATGGTAGAAATATGATGAGGGATGTGGCCAGTAAATCTTCTCAGTCCCCCTCTACCTCTTTTACATATATCATTTTATCTGAACTGACATTTCATCAAACTTTTCTTTTGGCATGTTTTCCTTGGTTATTTCATTCAATCTGACAGAAAAGAAATTGCTTGGGGAATTTGCTGCAAAGAAGAACCTTCCTTTGAATGTAAGACAGTCTTGTTTCATAGGTATCAACTTTCTGGAATAGTGTTCAGTTAGAAATCTAGATGGGTTCATCACTCCTAACCTTCATAAGAACCTTAAAAATGCAGTTCACTTAGGAACTGTCATCAATATTTGTGTTACTTTTGATAATAACAATTTATGCAAGGGTTTGACCCCTTTCATGATTATTAGACCTGTTTTGCTATTATTATTCTTTGACTGTTATTCTACAGCACTATGCCCATGTGGAATGAGGCAGAATCCATAAAGTCAGCAAATAAGCGAAGTCAGCAAAGTCAGCAAAATTAGAGGTGAGGGTCCTTTCAATGATTCAATGGCTCTGAGGTGGTTGCATCAGGGGTGAAATGCTCCCAGTTTGGACCGGATCACCTGATCCGGTAGCGATGGAGGCGGGTGGTTCGGAGAACCAGTAGCAAAAATCCCTGCCATCCCCCCCCCATGCCCAGCTGAGTCGCGCAATCATCAGAGGCTTTTTTTCTTAATTTTTAAAAGCATTTTTTCTATAACTTCTTTGGCTGAAAAAATGCTTTTAAAAGTAAAAAAAAAAGCCTCTGATGATCGTGTGGCTCAGCTGGGATCATCAGACGCTTTTAAAAGCATTTTTTCGGCCGAAGAGGTTATAGAAAAAATGTTTTTAAATGGAAAAAAAGCCTCTGCCGAACAGGCAAGTCAGCTGAGATCGTCAGAGGCTTTAAAAAAAAAAAAGCTTCTGCCGATCAGGCAAGTCAGCTGGGATCGTCAGAGGCTTTTTTTAAAAAAAGAAAGCCTCTGCTGATCATGCAACTCAGCTGGGATCGTCAGAGGCTTTTAAAAGCATTTTTTTTACAACCTCTTCAGCCAAAGAGGTTGTAGAAAAAATGGTTTTAAAAGTAAAAAAAAAAAAGTTGGACACGCCCACTCAGCCATGCCCACAGAACTGGTAGTAACAAATTTTACATTTCACCACTTTGATTTCATGGTACGGTCTCTCTTCAGTGGCCTGAACCAGAATGAGTCTAGTAGCACCTCCTCCAATTAACACATTCGAAAAAGGTGCTATCAAACTCCTGATTTTTGTATAGATTACTACAGCTCCCCCCCTGCAACATTCATTGGCCTAGTGCTACCCTGGGTCCCCATTATATTAGGATTCTTTTTGTGGGCCTTTGTCATATTAGGAAGCAAGTAAGCCATGAATGCTGCAGAATGCTAGTGAGATGTGTTCGGAGAACCAAAAGGACAGTTGGTGTGATCACATCATTACAATAAAGTTTTTTAAAATACACTTTCCAAAGGACACGCAACAGATGCATCACAAGAATAAGGTAAGAAAGAACAGAAGCTTATTTTATAGGGGAAAAAACCTTAAGAATTTGAGTACACCAAAGAAGAGAGGAATAGCTATTTTCATAATGTCTTTTGGGGGAGAAGCTTCATAGAAGCTTATGGTTTGCCACAGTTGGAATGCAAAAAAAAACAAAAAAAACATGTTCCATCGTATTCAGCAGGGTGATGAAAAATAACTTGGGGATGGAGAGAATGTATTACCTCAGTTCTTCTTCTACAGAATGGCAAATGGAATAAGCTCATCCATTGAACTGAGTGAATGTTAGATAACAAGCTTACTTACCATATAAAAGTATTCTGTTAATCATTAAGGTATTGATGTGCCAAATTGTCCATTCACCTTTAATTTGCTCCATTCATGAAAGTATGTGCAGGAAAAGATGGGGAGTAAATTAAATAGCAATGATTTGAAATGGAAAATCTTTGAGAAGTCTCACACTACAGGAGAGATTGCCTTCCTTCAGTGATGGCTAAGAAGATCTGTCTTGAAGATACTGTTTAAACTTAATTTCTGTAGTCACTTGCCTGGGTACAGAGATTCTCTTCATCTTGCAGTTTCTTCCATATTTGGATAATTATGTGCCCCACAATAGTCATGGAACAGAATACCTTCTCAGGTGACTATGCAGGGTTGATTGGTTGTATGACCATTTGTTCAAAGAACTGGAAGAAACTCAAAAACAGAGACCACTTCCAAGCTAAGGAGCCCTTTCCTTCCTCCCCCCCCTTACAAACTTTTTCTCAGCTGCCACCTTATGCTTGCTTGTGCTTCACCGCTATGACTGCCATGAACTGTGGGGAGGGGGAACGAAGGGAGGAATGCTTGGGGAAATGAAAGTAAGTGCTGTACCTCCTCAAGATGCTGCCTCAAGGTCACCCAGTTGGAAGAAGGAGGGGGATAAATACCAAACTGCACTTGGACTGACCATTATGAAAACATCTTGCCTGAACCTGATTGGTTACACTGGGATGGGCAATGAGAGACAGTTAAGGGAGGGAAAAGTAGAACATAGTGTTTTTGGTGCATGATTTTCAGTTCTGATTTGACCTCTAATAAATTATACCTTCTCAACAAATGGAGCCAAGGATCATTTTTATTTAGAGGTTTAAGTTGTGGCAGATCCTATACTTTTAACAAATTATTTTACTCCTTATCAAAGAGGAAGGAAAAACGTTGTGCTTCTTTTTAGGAAGTAAAAAAATTAATAAAAATCTCACAGCTGCAGTGGGAGAATTAAAACAGCTTTACCAAATTGTCACAGTTACTTCTCTACCTGCAAAAGTTCACACATCACATTCCTCTCAGAAAAAACTGATAGAGGAATTTATTACTATTGCATATTTTTAAATAAACCCAAGGGGGGAAATCCAATTATGCCTGCATTTCTAAATATTGCAGATTTGGCAGAAACCCACCTGTGTTGGGAATTCCTAAACGCCCTCCCAGATGACCAAATACACTGGTAGCTCTCATCTCATTTTGCTTTGAAAGTGATGAGATATTCTGGATATAGGCCGTTTTGTTCTTTGCATGCACAGCATTGAAGGTTTTGTTGTTGTCATGTGGAAATGTCCCAGAATGAGTTTTCCTGTGATACTCTGAATGTTCTGTCACACCCAACGACACCATAAATGAACTCTGAACTTTGACTTTGATATCAGACAAAGGGTTGAAGAGGGAGGATTCTGTCATCAGCTCCTTGTCAATGGGATCTTGAAGGCATATGGGTCCACTGTAGGTTCTACTGACAGTCAGGTCAGGCTGCATGGATGAGTTCAAAAGCAAGGAGTTACCTGATAGAAGGAAATTGATCAAGCAATCAGTTACCATTGCTACACAGAATCCTAAGCATTGTCTGCATACTTAGTTTTAAATTAAGATTGCAAACCTCAAGCAACATTACATTAGATTTCAAATGGAAAATTTTTGTAATAAATTACAAGTAAGTGTTTTTCCAAACAGAAAACTAATTATCAGGAAGAATATGCCTGAGTTAACCATAGTTTCAGTTGGGAAACTGTAGATATCTTAGACCAAGCCAGATCTAAATAAATTCACTGAGCTTGGATATTTTCCTGCAAATGTTTCATGACCAGGACAGATAACATCATTAGTGCATGAGAGTGTAGGGTTTACTGGCAGAGCAAGCTACTATGAATAAACTACCAGCAGATGAAGTCCCCCGTGCTATAGAGATTAAGGAAGATGATCTTGAGGGAGGTACACAAATTCTCTAAACAAGAGGTTAAACATTTTGTCTAAATCCAGAATGTTGAGATAATCTTTAGAAGTGACTCAGACAGACACCTCCTTAATTCACCTAAAATAAAAGAAGATAACGTTACAACACAATTGGACTTGCAAAATTGTGTTATTACAGCCAATGTGTATAAAAGTATTTTTAGATTTTCCTTGGAGATGATTTCTTGGTCTGGTCTACCTATGGGGCTTACACATAGACTGATGGTGTTACCTAGCATCTGCAGGAAAACAACCAAGTTCAGGAAACACCTAGAACCAGTAGTTTAACCCTCAGTTACCTCTATTATTGAGATTCAAAAATGCAAGAAAAGTCCTAGAGGTGTGACTCTGAATGAATTATCCATTTATAGGCATATTGAGTTAAGCTTCATCTATACATTATTCAAGAAGAGAAGCAACCAGGGGCAAAAGAAAGAGGCAAACAGACCTAAATACACCCTTCCTCATTATGCCTCTGTTAACTAACAACCAGATAAGCAGGAACCAGCTTCAGATAAACAAGAATAAAGATGAAACTATATCCCATCCAAAAAGCAACCAAGGAAAAAAAAATAATCAAGGCTGATAGGACAATCTACCCCATGTAAACAACCAGCAAATCCCGCTCCCCCATGCCTTGATGTTATCCAGAATGGTAATGAAACATATTCAGGAAGAGAAGTAAGCATAGAGGACAGCCAAAATAAACAATTCAACCCTCAGCTACATACATGGAAACAAAGAATTGCAACGTTGCCAGCAAAGTATCTTGTCTTATTTTACTTCATATTTCCCTCAGAGCAGAACAAGCTGTTGATATCTGTTCATAATGCTTGTTTAAAATAGACACAGTACACACAGACAAAATTAACACAATGGTCTGGCTGCTTTTCTTCAACTTTGATTTTAAATGAGCCAAGAAAAATGCTCCATTCTCTTTTACTCCAAACTAAGTAATCTGTTTTGCTCAATTTTCCTGGCTATGCTGTGACTTGTGGAACTGAGGAAAAGACAGACCTTTCTTCTTCCTGTTCTCTCCATAACATTCTTTGAACTTTAGAGTTTCTGGGCTCTTTTGAGTTTCCAAATTTGGGGACATTTGGGAGACAAATCAGGGGCATTAAGAAGCTGTATTTCCTCAATGTTCTAATAGAGATGCAGTTATTAATTTTGTATCCACATGTTTTATTTTATGGCTGTTCACCGCCCTGAGTCCTTCGGGAGTAGGGCGGTATACAAATTTAATAAAAATAAAAATAAAATAAATATTATTGCTTACTGTTGGTCAGTAAGTAATTCATAGACTTTTTATTATTCTACTGTAGACACCAGAAGAGAAAGGCATACAAATGAATGGGTAGAATAAGGAGAAAAAAGTACAGTAGGTGAGTGGGTGGGATCAGATCTCTAATCCTTTCCCGGGTACAATAGTCTCTAGTCTCCCTGATTATTATTATCTTTTTTTAAAAAATACCTCTTTCAAGAAACCAATTTCTGGACCTATCTGGATAGAGTTCAGTCCTTTTTCTCCATATGTTGAAATGTTGAAGTTATTTTATTAATGTTTTCTCAACAGCTTGACATCCTTGCCCAAATGTTTTTGAGCTTCAGTGAATTTCCCAGCATGTATAAGGACACACATGCAAACACATGACTTATTGTTATATGTATATAACAGCATATACATAGATTTTTTTTTGCAGCTTTCCATCCGCAATGTGCTGTTACCATGTAATTTGAATTCCTATAAAAGTAGATGTTTTCTTCTTTTTCTTTTTAGTTTACTCTTGAATTTTTTTTTCTCTCTCTTGATGTGTGGGTGTTTTAATAATACATGCTGGGAGAAATAGCTAGAAATCTCATTATGGGAACTCTTTGGCTCAGTGACTATTGAGCAAATTGGAGGCCTAGATTTCTAAGAGGGCTGATTTTCCCCAGGTTCTTACCCTGAATCATAAAGTGAAAGGATTGAAAGGCACTGTGAAAATCATCCGTCCACTACAGGAATTCACTACTACAGCATCCTTAACTGATGGTCATCAGCTTCTGTTTAAACATCTCCAACAAAGTAAGGTTCATCACTTCTCCTTCCATTGTGGAATAGCTTGTATCATTAGGATACTCTTCTTGATGTCTGATTTGTAATGTAAATGTTTTTGGTCTTTCTTTCTGGAACAATTTTGAACCGTACTGCTTCATATAGGATAGCTCTTGTCAGATGTGAAGAATCAGGATCACATGTAAGTTCCAGTTCAATAGATTTATTGTTCAAGCCTATACACAAGAATCTGGACAACTAACGGGCAACACTAAATTGATGCTAGATAAGAGTTAATCGAATTAAATTAAAGGAGGATTGGACATGGAGCCTTTGGGGACATGTAATGATTCTAGGCTGAGTCTTCCCTTGACTTTGCCCCTAGGCTGTGCCTCTTCTTTTCTTACAGTTCTCTACAGAATGGTTGTTTCTCATATGTGTATGAGAATGTGTACGTGAATCACTGCATAGATGAAATATTCAGTAGATTTAGTCATTACATAGCTGCCTCGTTAAACTCTCAGTAATAATATAGTACTTCCCTCCCCCCAATCACCAAGGAAATTAAAATGAGTATCTCATCTAGATAATTTAATATATTCATTATAATAATATAGATGATGAAGAGCTGGGGGAAATTTATGGGGAATAAAGGGCTTGGGACTGATAGCTGTTAAGAAGATCCTTCAGGTCTTCCCTGTAGAATTGTAGGAGACAAGCCAAAAAATAATGGGGTTAATTATGTGAAATTAGATTCTAGTTGGATATCAGATTTTTAAAAACCCAATACAGTAGTAAGATATGATCCAACTCCTTGGGAGTTGGTGGTCTTTCTTTTGTTGGAAATGTTTAAATACTGGATTGTCAACTGTTGGTGATACTCTGATAAAGGATTACTACGCTGGGCAGATGGTCTTCAGGATGTCTTTGAACCTTTATTCTGTATTATTCTATGGAAAGAATTCTTATCTCCTTTCTTTCTTAAAGAGATATAAGTAAATAATCATAGTTGTCTTCACATTTCTAGCACTAGGGGGTTTCAGAAATCAGAATGTTATTTAAAAAGAAAAGAAAAAGAAAAACTAACTTTTTACATAAAGTTTTCAAGAAAAGAATCTGTCAGCCTCTATGATGCTTGCTTGCTATTGGTTGCCATAGTAATGGGGAGGGGGGGGGGAAGGTTGGCATTTGGGTGGGGGGATGTGAGCTGGAGAGAGATGCCCTATGTGAACAAATAGGGAAGATTGCTTCTATGTGCACAGCTGTATGGACTTGTTTATGCCCAGTCAAGATCAACTGTCCCGGAATACCAGATGGATGAAAACGCCTGAAGATGCTGCCCACATGACAACAATTGGGATGGGAATTGGACACTTACCCTGGGTCTTTGGGGGAGGGATTTGGGGATACTTTCAATATGTAACTTTTGCTCCTTTTGCTTCAGATCTTGCTTTTCTTGCATTGCTATCATCTCAAATTCAGTAAAAGTACCTTTCTCTACAAACATGGAGTTGGGGTTTTCCTTTCTTGAGTTTTGAATGGAGGCATGCCTGATATTAAGCAAGATGTGCTTTATCCCAGAGAAAACTCTACCGTGGGTGCTGAGCAAAGAATGTCTAACCAAGGCACTCCCCCCCCAGTCCCATCACTGTTAGAAAGAGTCGGAGTGGATGTCTGAACTGCAGATTGAGGAAAAGCCAGTCCGAGCCAAATGGTCACTGGGCGTAGGATGGATGGAGGCTCCAGAGAAGATTCCCCCTGGGGTAACAGCTGCCAGATGCTGGCATGGAGAAGCTGCTTGGCAGGAAGCTGACAAAGAAGACCTCCTGCTGACTCAAGCCCTGCATCACCTCCAAAAAGCTCTTGAAAGTTGGAGAGCACGTGAAAGGTATGCCTTGCCTGCATATGAGGAGGCTGAGCAACGGGGGGGGGGGGGGGACAGAGGCCCCTGCATACCCAGATTAGATTCCTAGAGCTCGGCCAGAGCCAGTGCAGGCTGCAGGAATTCAAGCGGCAGCTGCGACCCACACCCCCAATGGGGGGGGGGGTAGTCCCCCGGAGGTGCCAAATTCCAAAGGTTCCTCAGCTAGCAATAAAATATGGAGGAGATCCCAAGACTTTGGGATTCTTCCTAGCCGAAGTTTGGAATCATATGCAGAAGTATGGGGAGGATTTTGCTTTGGAAATGGCAAAGGTGCGGTGTGTCACCATGGGACAGCAGCTGAGTGGATGGTGACCCTTCATAATGAGGATTCCCGACTGCTGAGGGATTATGACCTATTTATGATGGCCCTCCAAGTGCGCTTTGATAACCCCTTAGCTAAACAAAAGGTTAGAACCAGGATGAAAACCCTAAACCAAGGGAGGAGATCAATGGCCGAATACACCCAGGAGTTTCATGAGCTAGTTTGCCACATGCGGGGGTGGTCCCAGGAGAACCTGAGGGAATGTTACAAGGATGACCTCAATAAGGATATCTGCCAAAGCTGTTGTTCCCAAGGGGCCCCCTGAGAC